TTTAAAAATATGTATAATGTCAAATATAATTCAAAAAAAATAATTATATCTCTTAAATTAAGACACATAAATAAAATCAACATGTAATTTTAAATTAATTTAATATGTAATAGTATAATAAACTTTGATCTATTTTTATATATGATTATGTAACAAAAATCTAAGCTATTTTATATGTGACAGTGTAACAAATTTATATATAATCATGTAGTAAAATTAGATGTAATAGTATAACAAAAAATTGTGTAATGCAATTTTAACATAACGAAGATAAAATTTGTTTATATGTCTGTGTAATCTAAAAAATCTATAAGTAGAAAGTGAGATTAGTAGACGAGAGTGAGGGAAAATAAGTTTTTGTTCTTTTTTCAAATTTTGTTTTTATAATACCATATATGAATCAATCATTAAAAGTTACATCATTTTTACCTAGTAACATTTTTTACAATTTTTGATATTTTTTTATAGTAAAATTTGATATTTTTTAACAGTTTTATATTTTTGAAATTTGAATATTATATATTATATATGATTTTGTTTGCTCTACAACTTTACTTAATTATAAAAAGTAGTTTTTGAATGCTGATTTTGAGTTTAATATAAAGAAACTGCTAAATAGAATATGAAAGTTTATTGTGAACCTTAACTATCTGTTATATACTTTTGAAATTTGAGTATTATATGTATCTTTATTTGCTCTACAATTTTACTTAATTATAAAAAGTAGTTTTTAAATGCTGATTTTGAGTTTAATATAAAGAAACTGCTAAATAGAGTATAAAAATTTATTGTGATCTATTATATACTTTTAAAATTTGAATATTATATGTAATTTTATTTTTTCTACAATTTCACTTAATTATAAAAAATAGTTTTTAAATGCTGATTTTGAGTTTAATATAAAGAAATTACAAATTTTACTTAATATATATAAGTCATAAAACAGTTTGCTTAGCAGAGTCAAATTTTCTTAAGTCATAATGAGAGTTTGCTTAGCAAAGTTAAAAATAGTTTACTTATTGATCATAGTAAATTTTGAAATTTTCATCTGACCTATACATAGATTGTTCAGAATTCTACTGGTATCCTAATTTGATATTAAAAACTTTCATTTAGAAAAGTTAAATAATAAAAAGTTTACTTAATTAAATTATTTATATGTAATCAAATTAATTGTTAAATAATACTAATATTATATACTAAACAAGTTAATACTTTAAAACATATATTTGATATTTATCATTTAACCTTTATTTATCATTTCTTATACATTATCTAATTAATATAAAATATGACTCAAAGATAATGCTAAATATATTAAATATATTATTTCTTTTATGTTATATAAGAAAATATGAAATGAAGTTAATTTAAGTCTTAATTAAAAATTAATAAAAATTAGTATTATTGTCAAGTTAAAAAATAATTCACATATATATGAAACATTTTTTTTATTTATTACAAAATATTTAAATATTATCTAAATATAAGTTATCAATCTTGTTTAGGTTTAATAATATTAATTTGTAATTTATTATAGAAAAAATTAAATAATAAATAATATTAAATCTTTATGTATCCAGCCTTTTTGCTTTATTAGGTAAAATAAATAAATAAAAAAAAGTTTAATACAATTTGATGTTATATATTTGTTACATTATCAATATACTTTATTTAACATATATAACTTTATTGTAAAGTAAATTTAATTATATAATTAATATTTAAATTACCTTTTGCATTAGGGTATATAGTGTTTGTTTGAGCGATTTTTTTTAAAATTCAATTATAAATTTATAAGATATAGTTGTTAATTAATGAAAGATTATAAATTATCAATGAATGATGCATAGTAGGCATTTTGATTTGATGATAATATCAACTGCAAAAAAAATGTCAATTATTATTAGTATAATAATAATAGATTTTTCAAGATACTTGAACAGGAATGATGATTTTCTATGTTTCACAGAATTTTACAAGAAATCACAGAATACGGATGATAATTTTCAAAATTTTGGCCCGATTTATCATCGTAATGCTGACTGATATTAAGTTTGGCCAGAATTTGCGAATCGTAATGTTGGCTGATCTTGCAGAATTTCACAGAATTAACTTTTATCACACGCAGAATTCATCCTCAATCCGCAGAAAATCATCGTTCCTGTACTTGAGAATCACACACTTCTTAAATAATTTCACTTCAAATAATAAATCATATATGAGTCATACTAACTAATAATGACGGATCAATTAAATAATAGTCCAGAATTTTTCTTTAGTTGAATTATTGTCATACAGAATTATTGATGTCGTACAAATATGCAAACTATTAATATCTGAGATATGCAAAATGTCACGCGTGCGAGAAATTATAAAGATCTCAATATTTTAGCTGAATTACCTAGTACTCTTTTTATTTTGAACCTACATTATCTTTAAAAACTCTTCAAAGTCATCTTTACAGTTGGTAATTACACTATATTTATTAATCAAATTTTTTTTTACGAATATCGTTACTGACATTAAAAACTTATACGCAGTACCAAATGAATTCAATTGAATCAGAAGAATATCGCATTGAGGTTTTGGTGCCTTATTTTCCGGGTCTTTCAAGATACGTAAACAAGTAAGAATAATTTTTTTTAAAAAATTAATAAATATATATATAAATATAGGCAATAAAGTATTTAATAGGATTTCTTTAACAATTTTAAGGACAAATAGAGTGACTGATAATACCAACGAATCACAAAAGTTAAAAAAATAGATAAAAAGAATGAAGAAATTTATAAGGAACCGAAAAAAATTATGAAACATGATTTCATAAAGGTTGAAAAAACCGAGGAGATTCAAAGGCCATCTAAAAAAGTTAAACGTATGAAAAGAATTAACCGAACCAAAAACAATCAAGAATCTATGAACATTATTGAAAGTGAAATATCGACTAATGAAATCAACGTTTCACGAGAGAAAAAAAAGAACTTGAAAAAAAAAAAAAAGAAATCATGAGGAATAATTGGAAATTTTAACCAATTATAATTCATATATATAAAACTTTGTATAATTGTATAATTCGTATAGTATTTTTATACTGTCATTATTTTCCTTATCATGATTTGAAGTAAAATTTTTTATAGTGATTTTTACAAGAACATCAAATACTTTAAATAAAGTTAAAGTAATTAGACGAAAACGAATTGTTTGTGATTATTTTGTTAACCAAAATAGAAGCTTCACTTATGCCCTGCAACGGTAGCTATTTCATGATTGGATTTCCAACTTTTATCAAAGAAGCATCCCCCTGCTGCTAGAAGTATAATATCATTTAATCATACGTTTTGTTGAACGATAGGATATTTATGACAGCGAGTCTGAAATGCCAAAAGACATAAAGTATTTCGAGACGATGTTTGTACAGTGAGAAAATGAGGAGAATCACAAATTTATGTGATAGCTATTATTTACGAGTTGTAATAGTTTTATTTAAAAATAAAATTTTTATCATATAACCACATATAATAGATACGATCATTCAAAAGAATATAAGAAATATATTTAAATTAAAGATCAATTTATTAATAAATCATTATATAACAAAACCAAAACCTTATGAATTCAATATCAACTTATGGAATAAATAATAATCTATAATCCTTGTATGCTCATAATTGGCCTCATTTTTTACTAATTCAACTAAAGTAATTAAAAAGAAAATTAATACCTTGAAGAAATCCATATGAAAATATCAATATTAAACGTCACCTTGATTATTGGCGCATAAAGTATGCGAGGATCAACTCCTAAAGCATCAACAAGTTGCATGCGACTTCTTTAGCGATCTCTCGAATTAATGCAGTCACAGCAGTCGTATTGAAATTAGTTTATTGGTTATATGAATTCTTTGATATCATAAGTACATGTTCTGTCCACCTAACTTTAATTCATACCAATATTTAATGCGATAGTTGTTAAAGTTGATAGACAAGATGCATAAATAATGAAAAGATTTTCAATATAATGATAACAAAAAGTCTACAATCTTTTTAGTTCCTCCCAAATTCAACAACGCTACCGGAAAAAAGTTGATCTGCAGCTTTGAAAAATCGTCTAAAATAATAGCAAATTAATTAATTTCGAATAATATATATATCTATGGTTATAATAATCATATTACGTACCTACGAGGATTTTGATGTTTTAGCTGAAGAAATGCTGTAAGTTATAATGCGACATAAGACAAACTTGCATTTTTGAACCACATTTTATCTAACGTCGCATGATAGAAATAAATTTAGTAATGATTGATTATTAAAAAAAAAAAAAAAAAATTCACATGAAATACCATTATCTACTCCCATATATTCAATTATGACACATTCTGAATGATAAATAATAAGATCAATCGGTATTATAGAAACTTTGTTAAACATTCACGCATGAATATCAAGAATTATTTAAAATTAAATATAAAAATAACCTTTTTTTTTTTTAGAAAAATAAATAAATAAACATTTATTTATAATTTTCAGAATAATTTTAGAAAAGTGATTCAATATTTTACTAACGAAATCGGTGTATTAATGATAAAACTCTCGGTTGTTATCATATAGCAGTTTCACCGTGAAGATTATTCGCGCCAGTTTCATTTAAACTGTCTTTCTAAATTATAAATGGTTTTTATTCAATGAACTTGTATGAACACAATTTTATTAAAATAAAACGTAATTACCTTTTTACCCATCTCGTGTTGATTCAACGCATAGACAAAATTGCTTAAATTGACCCTAATTAATTTACTTTGTGAAATATTTTCCAGCAAAAATTGTTTCTGTCAAATACGGAGACACAAAACCTTTATCGGGCATGATTATCAAAAAATTTTTTGACTATAAATAGAAAAAGGCGGGTATTTTATGCCCTAATATATTAGGAAATCGTCATGTTATTAAAATTTTATAAATTCATCCAAAACTACCCTTGTGAAACTTTATCAGCTAATGTTTTACGCACTTTCCAGCTGGAATTCAATTGCTTCTCTACTAAATGAACTTGTCGTTGAGGAGTCCAATTTAGTTTTGAATGCAACCAACGTTGTTAGTGACATCAAAAGATCTAACTTTATGCGAATTCTTCAAAAAAATTGACATGTTTGAGAGAGAAGTATAAACGCGTAATTTTGGCATTTCGAAGCCTGGAGAAGAGAATTCGGAAGAGGTAAATCCTGTGAATGATTAAGTTATTGAGGATTATATGGTAAAGAGTGTGTTTATAGGAGTTGTAGCTTAGTATTATAATTTAATTCCATTTGATGCTCTTTGATAGTTATATCCGAAGGAACAACAATTGACATATAGCTCCAAACAATATAAAATGATAGTGAATTTTTGATGTTATTTCAATTTGCAATTAGATGCGCTGTGGGCAGTAATATCTTGTATCATTCAGAGAGTCAATAATTAATTTACTTCTGTAAATACTAATTTATATTGTATATGAAAAAGGTTCTTGGCAAGAATAGTTGATCGGAAAATTGATAACGGAAAGGAAGCTAAAGAACAAAAGACTGGAGACATGGTATTTATAATGGGCACATGATACAAATAAGTTAGAACGTGCAAAGGTATTTTACTTGTATTTAATATATTTATCGTATTATTTTATTTATTTTTACAGGGAAATCAGTAGAAAGTGGACGTGCTTTTTGAAACAGATAAGTGTTGATAGATGCATCAGGTCATAAAAATTATGTACCTAGTATGATTGGTGTAACTCTTAAGCAGATGATGGAATATTGGTACGATATTTGTTTTTATATTTAGTGTAACTGATTGGAAAAGTTCGTACACAAAATACACCACTTTATTGAAATTGTCTTTAAACTTTTCATAGAAAAACAGGATTAGAGAGAGGGCGGTTAAACACGTCAACATGCTGTTCTTGATTAGAGTACTTCCAAACTGTCGAGAGGGCATTGAGATCGTTCCTGAATTAGTACTAATGAAGCCACGATTTCTTACTTTGAAAGTTCAAGTTCTTATAAATTATAACTCTTGGGGGTTGGCATTCTAGCTTGATAGTTATTTATCTGTTAGAGAGAGTAAGGGTCATCCTCTGAGACCAGAGGTTTGAAGAATTATCCTTGTGGGTTCAAGGCGGTAGTCAAGCCAGAATTATTAATAATGTAGAATATGCCGAGATACCTAACGTCCAACTATTACAAGTCAACATATTATTGAACTTTTGAAAATAAAATAATTAGAATCTTTGGATTTCAAGGAGATAAATTAAATGCAGATACTCTCCTCTTGAAGAAATTGTTACTCAATACTTAGATGAAGGAAAAGATCTTTTTTTTTTTGGAAAATATCAAAATAACGTGTCAATGCTTTGTCCTGAAGATCTATTCCCTACTTTTGTTCATATAAATTTTATTTCATAAGTATTTTGAGGTTATTTGATACATCCTTAAAAAAAAATATTCGTCGTCCTGAAAGATTTGTCTGTAGTATCTCATGTTAAGTAGTTTTATTTGAGGGGATGCTAAGGAAAAAGTTATATAAAAGTCGGATGAAAATGAAATGAACAAAATCCGATGGTTAAAAGATATCCTCGTGCTACGTGAGATGATGTTGACACATTTTAGATAGAAAATGATGAAATTAGAAGCTATACGAAATGGTAAATAACAATATACCAAAATTTTAATTTAATTGAGTTGTTTTGTTTTATTTTTACTATTAAATTTTATGTTTTATAAATATTACCGTTTTTAATAAAATTGCGTTACCACCAATCACCATCCATCGAAATTGCCTTAAAATGTAACCAAAGTACACGTACTTCCAAAATAAATTCTAAACCAAAATGTAAATAAACCTTAACTAAATATTTATTCTACCAAAAATAATCCTGGTTAACTAAATAAATAATCGACTATACCGTTTACTACTACAAAAACTGGTTTCCTACCTTCCTAAGCGTGGAGAGGACCACAAAATAAAGGCAACTCGAATCAAAAAAGCTTGGTACTGTAAAGGTTGCCTTTTTCCAAGCGAACGATCAAAAAAAAACGAACAAAAAAATATATTCACATATATTTTGTATACTTTAGTGTGGTCAGTAGAGGACAGGTAAATATTTTATACAATTTTTTAGTAACGTCAGTAATGTACATTTTATGGAATTGAATTTTGTTAAATTTTTTTTTTTTTTTTAAGATTTCAAGGATTTCAAAGAAGAAGTTAGCTGTCTGGTCCTTATTAAAAAATGGACGATTTGTTATGACATAATAAATCGTATGATCTAAACAGCAAACCTCTTAATCATAAATTTGGTTTAAGAGTTAACTCAAATGACACGAATTGGAACCTGTTCATTATATGATGCATAATGACCCAACATCTGGACATTTTGGACGAGAAATTATGTTTAACAAAATTAGGACACGATATTACTGGCCACAAATGTACGAAGATATTAAAGAATATGTCAAAACATGTGATAATATTTATCATATTTTCTCCTTCAAAAGGAGCTTATTTTTTAAATAATAAAGAATAGATAGGAATATAGTTGCTATACCTTATACTAGATTTAAATTTCAATCCAAATCCCAAATCCTATTTAATTTATATGTATTTCTTGATCAATATCCCACTTATAAAAATAAAATAATATTTATTTGAATTATCCCACAATGAGTTAAATATAATTAAATTCTGATCATTTAATTGATAATATTGTTTGTTTCATACCTATATAATATGGGTAACAAATATATATAAATAGGCATAATTAAATAAATTAAAAGCAAAATTAAATTTTATTCTTTATTACTAATTTTAATAATGACTCGAACGATGGAATATCTAATATTCAAACTTTAAGATTTTAACTGTATATAAATACTTTCAAGACAATGATCTAAAACTTCACAATGATGTTCCGATTCAACCAACAATAGATCCATCGATCCCTAAAATAAAAAGATCAAATTATAATTAACATTACCAAGTGATGCAAGTGATGGATCTTATAGAACAGCTTATTTTATTTCTGATTTCAGAGATTTTCCTGTTCATCACAACCTTGTTAGTCACGGGACAGGGTATTGGCTCAAAATTAACCAAAATTAAAAATTAAATAATCAAAAAAAAAAAATATTAAGAAAAATATTACTACGTATAATTTTAATTATCTTCATTTAAATCAAATACGTTATGACCAAGCGATAATTCAACAAGATCATAAGTAATAATTGCACCAACCAAAATAATAGAAGTAATTCCCGCAACCACAGAAATAATTATTCTTTTTTTCCTTTGAATAGGGAAAGCGACAAAAGAATTTTTTGAAGGTTGGTTCGAATAGATTTCATCAATATCATTGATAAGAGTAAATTCATATCCAGAATTTGATGAGCTTTTTCTAGATAATATTTTTGAAACATTATCATTGATCTTTTCATTTATAGTATCAATAGTACCAGAAACATTGAGTTTCGGAGAAGGATTTACAATTTCTGTAGTAACAAGAGATTCATTTGATTGTTTTGTTTTATTTTCCTTTTCCGGTGTTGATTCTAAATCTTTTTCCCGATGATCAATTTCTACGGGATAATGTTGTCCCTTTTGCTTTTGACTTAAATAATATAAATAAAATGGTATAATAAAATTACTCGTGCTAGTAAATAATAAACTGGCCCAATTTGTAAATATATTTAACCAATATCCTGTTTGAAATGGTATAACAATCAGCCAAGGTAGTAATATCGACAATACGTTTGCCATTCCTACAACAAAATTTTTTAGAAAAAAAAAGATAATTAAAAATAAATATAATAATAATAATTTCTTTTAAAAAAAAAAAATACCTTTTTCACAAAAACCGGATCTAACCAAATTATAACGAACGACAATAAATTCTACTGGAATGCTCGTTAATAAAACCGCAACCGGGAATACAAAAGTTGCGATATCCGTCACGAAATTTCGATGTGACGATGCATTAATTTCTGCTATAATATTTGAAGCTAAACCCATTTGATATGCCATTCCTCCTAATATTCCTAATGCAATGTATGATGTTGTGCTTATTATCACAGAATACCATATAGATTTTTTGATACAAACGTCAGGTCGCTAAAATATAAAAAAAATGTCAGATGCTTGCTTCTCAAAGGGAAAATAATAATAATAATAATACTAAATCAATATTGATATGTACTAGATCGTTAACCCAGCTTGGAATGGTGGTGATAAACGCATAGTTAAATAATACTGTTCCAACAACCTGACTCTGATCATTGCTGACCAATGGAATATAATCTTTAGTCAATCCGGTAAGAATGAATGTAACGATCCACGTGATTATAATAAAAACGAGAGCCCCGAAAGAAGCTAGAAATTACACGTGAGACGCAGAAAATAAGCATAATATTTGAGAAATTGATACAATAGTTCGCTAAAGCATTTACCTATTTGCACAATGATATTATCAACCAAATCCAAAAATGCCAAAGGAACACAAAATGCCAACGTAATCTATAAATATGAGTAGCGTAAGTGTGGAGCAGTAAATTTTTACTCTCTCCAAAATTAATCACCATAAATCCAGAAGTGGCTAGCATATAATTCGAACCGAAAGGACTATTCTCATTGGTCTCTTCGTCTACACATATGAATCCTAAATCTGGATGAAGACTAAATCCACAAGTTCTACCGGTTAGCTTCAATAACATCCAATCCATAGCTTGAGCTGACAATATAATTGAAGCGATAATAATCGACTCAATAGCCAAATACAAAATAATTTGCACAACTATTCGCACTTTGCGATTGTGGATTAAAAGATTTGATAAATGAGTAAATTCGATTTTACGCTAAAATGGAGGGGGGAGAGATAATTAATTTCGTGATGAAGGATATCAATATAGAATATAAGGAGTTAGCTATAAACGCTTACTTGAAATCTTTCATTTCCATGAATTGTCGTTAATGCTTCACATAAAAGTAAAGAAGCAGAAGCACCAAGTGACATGGCGATAGCAAACATAATCGTAGGTAATAACCATCCTGAAGTTTGAAAGAGTAAAGGAACTATTTATATATCGGGAAAGTAAGCAAAGTATTAATAAATTTTACAAAAATAAAATTCTTCTATTTCCTCTTATAAATACTTGTCACAAGTCCCGGTCCAGTCATGGACGAAACCAAAAGCGCAACGCTCCCTATGAAAGAAATTCCACGTGAGCCATTCATTACTGTCATTTACAGGATGATTACTTTAAAAGAAATTTCTTAATGGAAATTTGCAACATTCAGTAAAGAAGCAACTCGAAAAACTTTCTTTTCAATTCCGACACATTTTATAGTTTTTTTTTTTTTTTTTTTTTTTTTTTTTTTATGTAGATTTTAACTATTTACGAACAATTATTATAAAAATGGTCAATCCTTTAGCGGATAGACCCGAATCACACAAAAGGTTTTTATTATATCCTAAACGTGGTGAAACACAAACAACAAAAAAAAAATCTTTTCCAATTCTAGAATTCCCTTTTTTTTCAAAAAAAATAATTTTATTGATTTGAATGCATTGACGCTGCTTATAATAATTTCTACGTTCAAAGAAAGGCTAATTCATCATATTTACTTTAGTAAAAAGTGACTTTAAAATATTTTTTTTTTTTTTTTTTTTTTTAACCATTAAACTATTTCTAAGAATTGAAACCTTATCTCTAATGAAAAAGCGGTATTAAATAATATTTATAAAATATTTCTAAATTCTGGATCTTCAGGATTTATTGGCGCACGTTCCGATAATGATGGATCAAATTGACTGTATCTTCCGAAGTGACTCTATCTCCTTCATCTTGTAAAGTAGACATGAAATTAAGGCGTATAGCTTCCACTTCTAAATTAATTATTGAGAATTGATGAGATATAATACAGAAAAATTTAATTCCAAAGAAACAAACGAGATTTTTATAAATACTTACATAAATTGATTTTGATGATTGATTGTCTAACACTCGTACATTTGAACTTTCCATTTGAGGCAAAATCACTTTGCCTAAAAATACATCTTATTACAATCCTCCTGTAATGGCAATGGTCCGTTGATTAAATTCATTCTACCGAGGAATCTGTTGGATCTTTGAATGTTATCGATTATTCTATGATACTTCTTGCTAATGGGAAATCTTGATGGTTTTTGAGACTTTATCAATAAGCGTAAATTAGGGGATCCTTTCCCGAAACGATGTCGATTATTGCGTGCCGACAAATATTTTTCGTCAGCCTTCTTATCTTCCAAGTAGCTGTGAATAAAATAAATTCCGTTTAGAAAGATTCATTTTTAATGGGAAAATATGCTAAAATTCTCAACTTTTCACTTACAAACTATTGGGTCAAAATATAATTTCATTCTATTTTTTTTTTTTTATCATTCTCGGTAAATATAATTGTAATAACAGTTTCCTCAACAAGATTAACTTGACGAAATCCAAAATCTTGAATTAACCTTCCAATTATATAATCTCTCTCAGGAGATCCAACATCATGACTGAATGACGTAGTGACTCCTTATGAACTCTCTTTAATTCCACTCACATAAAGTAAGAGAAGTTTGTTGGAGTTTAGTAAATATTACTTTACCAAAGCAAACTTTTAATCGAAATTCCTCATCCGTCGAAATTTTTTTTTCATAAATAAGAGCTTCACAAAAATTTGAAATTTGTTTTAAACAAGGTTTCAACATTTGAATCCCTGATAAACTATTGATTGAAAAATCCAATGGATTACAATTCTTACAAGTGAGATAGAAATTTAGGAGTAATTGAAGTAGAGGGGTAAGGAAGTGTAAGGACAAGTTGGTAAAGCGTTAATCGCAAAAATATATTTATCAAAGGGGCTGGTTTCGTGATTATCATTGGAAGCCTTATAAAATGAGATGATTTTAATATCACTACCAATGTAACGCGACTCGTACTCATCCGAGACGTCCAATGAAGTGAATCCGATGGAGGGTGAAAAATAATTGGTGCGACCCAAGGTGTCTTGTAATAATTTAACGACCATTTTAATTTGTTCCGCAGTACCCATAATTTTCGCTTGACACTGTTTATTTCTTCTTCCGATGATTTGTATATCTGCACCTGAACTCTCTTAAGAAAAACAAAATAAAAAAATTCGTTAGCATAATAAACGATAACTTTTCCATTTTTTTTTTTTTTTTTTTTTTTTTTTTTTTTGAAAAGTTGTTAAATTACATACTTCATTTGATTCAAATGTGTAAATTTTTGGACCCATAACGTATCCTGATTTCCTCTTGGAATGTTTATACATTTTTGGTAAATTTTCATTTAATGGAATTTGCGGCATTATTGAAGGAAAAAAATAAAAATAAAATAAAAAAATTCAACTTATCCCTTCGTCTGTAGACTACTATGTTTATTTGCCTGCGTTACAGACGAAGGGATAAATTAACGATAAAAAGGAAAAAAGGATTTTAAATTTTCCTTATAACTAACTATTCTTTTATAAGGAATCATTATCTTTGCGACTTCCCGTTTTTAGAAGATAATAGAAACGGGGTAAAAAAAATGTTACAAAAAGGACCATTATTATTTCGAGATAATAGTTTACTTTTTGGGAATCAATTGCAAGTTTGTGTGTGGGGCAAATTTGATTATGCAATTAGGCTTTTTGCTTCACCAGGCTAACTTCATTTTTAACTTTGTAATTTTACTTACGAAATTTTTGTCTGCTCTTTAAAAAATTGTAAATAACATAATTGTAATATCTGTTCGTTATCCGACAATTTACCTTTTTTAAGAACAAGAATACAATTCGTGTAAGGCGTACGTTGAGTATGTCAATTACTAATAGTTGTTCCTTTTTCAGATTAAAATTTCTTTTTCGTTCTCACTCCTTTTTAATGATCCTTATCTTGTTGCATATTCTTATTATTTAATAAAGTTTGTACTTGAAAAATCTTGTTTGTTTCAAGTTTTTTTTTTTTTTTTTGTGGCGGTTCGGTACAAAGAATAAAATTCTCTAAATGTTATTGAAAAAATATACATCTACATATTTTATTCTTTGTTGTCACATACAATTTATATAATAAACTAAAAAATAAGAAAATTTGGTTAATTTGGTGTTACGTTACCAAGCGAAAAAAATTGTTGTTTTTTCTTTTCCATTTGATAAAAATGGAAATCATTTTCCTCCTATAAAGCATTAATCACTTTCTTTTTAGCGTTAGCGCTTTGAATGTCCATGATGATTCTATACTTCGATCACTTTTTTACACTTCGTTGATCATTCCTCAGAAGTTGGTAAAAATTTGGTAAAAATGCGGGTCAAACTTAAAGCTAAACCTGATGACGTTTATACGTCATGCTTTGATGGTCTACATAAATAGAAATCATTACATAAAATTATTTTAATATAGAAAAGTTTATTATCTTATGCTTTATGTTTATTTGTTTTTTCCCATGCCATAACATATGAATAAAAATGTTTTTTCCCGTAAAATAAAAGGTATGACTGATTTATTATTGTTCTACAACATCTACTTTCAACAGAAAAAGATCGGTCAACCCATAAACTTCATTGATTTATTTATGTTACCAAATACCGAATTATATATGCACCCTGTTTTTTTTATACCTTCGTTTTTGAGGGTTCATAATTTTTATCGGGATCAAAATTTCACATATTTTTTCATACTATATTTAACCATATAAAGCTACCGCACTAAGAAAAAAAATATATACCCAAAGTATTTACGTGTTCAACATTATGTCCACACTATGTCCTTTACAACACTGCTTGCTATATGCCAATACACCAAAACTAATTATTATTGAAATGCAAATATCAAATCTTTGCAACAAGAAAAATTGGTTCGTTCCAATGTATTTGGTATCATTGCATTGCATTAAAGGACAAGAACGACCTATATGATGACGGATTTGTCTGAATTTGGGAGTCGTCACAAGAGGAAAGACGATTCATAATTTCTTTGAGCAATATCTTTTTGCTCGTGGTGGTACGCACTCATTCATATGGAGACCCCATCAAAAAAAGGTGGCTTTCGAATTTGGTGAAGATGATTGTGATGCCATTCAATGTTAAAGAAATTCCAAATACTATAAAGAATTTCGTGCACATTCTATTTCGTAAAATCAGAATGGTGGAAATGTTTCTAGTTTAATGGATGGATATCTCTGAACCATTCTTGGAGGTCTCTTACAATTTTAAGCACCTTTTCATAGTCTAAAAAAAATAATGATTTGTATTCATATTCTTACATGTATTTACTTTCATCTATTAGATTTTTAATTTACACTTTTTTATTGATAATGTACTTATTGGTAATATTAATAGAAATAAAGCTATCTAAATAATACCTGTCCAATACTTGAGCGATCGCATTTCTTAAAAACTCCACTAACTTTTCTATAATTTCAACATTCGTTCTAAATGAACGTTCTTTTGGTGATCATTAAAAAGTTTAATAAAATTCTTATAAACATATTTTACTTATTATAATTAAAAATTATTTTTTTAAAAAAAAATTTAAAAAATATATATACACTAAAGTAAGTAATAATATTTTATAAATAAACTAATTATAACGATAGCCTTAACCCTAATTCTATCGCTAACGTGATTATTTTTTTTTTTTAATAAATCACTTAACCCTAACTCTAATCCTAACCTTAATCCTAGCCCCTCGTTATTCATGTTTTTATAAAAACCTAACATAAATCTAACTCTAACTCAAAATCAAATTTTAACACTTATTCTAGATCGTCATAATGCAACCTAAACCAATTAGCCAATTAATTAAATAAAATGTCAAAATCTTTAATCGCAACAACCGCAGTAATAAATATAGTATTTCTTTTATTATATTGAATACATTTACTTAATTGCTAAAAATAACCTTTAGTCAAAAATTTTGCAGTTTTATTATAGCCAAAATTTTCATAAATTATGCAATTTTTTTAATTAAATTTTAGAATTAAAAATTAATAAAAGTCCAATTGTCACGAAATTTTCAAGATATATACTATTTATTATAATGCATAAGTTTATATAGAGCATTAAAGTCGATTTTATTAATAAAAAAATTTTTTCTTATTTGATTATTTCAATTATTATTTTGATTTTTGAGTTTTCAATCATTTTTTTCATAAGAGTGTACCTCTATATAGTCATGCAGTTAGACATACACTTTTGGTATGCTTATATTTAGATGTAACTATATAGAAATCTCTTCATATAGTCAACCTATATAGAAATCATATGGATTGTGATTATATAGAGGTTCATAAATTTCTATCATCATAAAAAATTTTAAAAAAATAGTGAATTTATTATTTATAAAAGACAAAAAAATTTCTATATTTATATATTATCTTGCATAAAAAAACTTGTAATATTTTTTTTTGTATTTTACTTTCAAAAAGTTTTCATTGTATATTTCTAAAAATTCTTATTTTTTCATATTTAACTCTTTACTTCAAAATATTGTACTTATGATTTAATACTATTAAAACCTTTTTATAGAATCAAACGCAATGATTTTCAGAATGCTGTATTATATAAATAAAATGTGTAGATATGACAAAAATAATATCAAAATACTTAGAATCTTGAATCAACTAATAGTTAAAATAAATACTGTATATATAAGGTAAAATGAGATTTATATTAATAATATTAAATGTTCTTCTTTATTATTATCATATAATTCAGTTTTTTCATTTTCTTCTTTCAAAATTAATTGAATAATTTTAGCATCAGTTAATGATTATTTTATTAGAATTGTCAAATCAATTATTTCTAAATATTGATTTACTTTTTTTAAGAACTTATTCAAAATGTTTTTAAGAGATAAAAACTATTGAAAAGGAGTTTAATATTCTTTTAATCTTTTTAACTTGCCATTTTCCATGCTATTAAAGTTTGTTAAATATTATCATTATCATCATAAGTTAATAAATTTCCAATTTTTTACCAATAATTAACAATTGTTTCTTCTTTTACTGAATCTCAAGCTTAAGTAACATATTTTATAGCTTCTTTGATATTAATTTTATTTCTATATAAAAAGATTTTAAAAAGTGTTTGATTAGGTGTCATTAAAAAAAAAGATAAATTTTAACTGCATTAAATATATTATCAAGTATATAATCTTGTATAATTGTTTGTCACTTTCTTCTTTCCTTCAAAAAAATTTTTAATAATATGTTATTTACTTTACTATATAAGCAATAATAACAAAGATTATTATATTTCTTAAATTTTTTTATCTATCTATTTGAAAAGAATATAATTCATGTAGAATATTAAATTCTTATGCAAAATAAAATGCTTTTTCTTTAATCATTATTTTTATAATAAAAAGTATTTTTATTAGTTGATATTGAGAATAATGTAAATTACTTAATTTTTTTTTTAAAATCTTGAAGATTAATAAATGATCAATTTAAAAACCTTAGTATTGTTGATTAAAGTAGTTAACAATTTATTATTATATTTATTTTTATTTTCAAATTTAGTAACATATATATATTTGTTACTTTATATTTTCACTTATAGCAGTGTGTGCTTTTTTACATTTAAAATAACAGATATCTTAAAAAATTAAGATAACATTTTTGAATATATTATTATTTATTTATTAATATTAGATAATCTTTCAACAGGTATTAAGCTGAAAAAATAAAAGCTAGAAAAGTTGATAAATTTATTATAATTTAATAAAGTAAAGAATACTTTTGGTGAAATTTTGTAAATTTATCATTATTAATACTATATAAATAAAACAGTTTCTTTAATAAATTTTAATGATCAATTATTGATATAGATATTTATAATATAATCACATGATATAATTATATAAAGGTCATTTTATTTAATTAAAAATTTGGCATAAAAATTTTGTTAACTATATAAAGGTTATATAAAAGGTGATTATATAGAAGTATAACTGTAATAATATTCATATTATTCAAATTTTTTGTGAATTGATTTGTAATTCAAATTATTTATAATTTGAATTATCTGAATTTTTTGAATTTTAATTCAAACTTTAAATTTGACTTTATATTAATGATTTGAAGTAAATTTTGTAATATAAAGCGTAATCTTATAAATAGTAAAAATTAATATAAAATGAATTGATTATGAATCAAAAAAATCTGAATACAAAAAAAAATTATATGAAAGTTTATAGTCAAAATTGTAACTTAAAAAGATGGTCAGCTTATATGAAAATAAATATATGTGAATGTGAATTTGTATTTATGCTAACTTATACTAGAAAAGTTTTATATCAAAGATTTACATGTTGAATAATATAGTAAAACTGTTAGATTTTCTAACTAATAATATATTGTTTTTTCAAAGACTTTTTTAGTTTCTTCTAATAATATTATCATTTATCAAAACTAAATATAAGAATATTTTATGTATAGTTTCAGCTGAAATAATTATTCCTTCATCAGCTAGGAGTTTATATTGTACTTTAACTGCTGTAGAACACTTTTTTGACCAAATGTAACATAAAATTTTTTGCTTATATCATTTACTCAATTTTTGGATGATCAGATTTAGGTATATCATTAAACTGCCAGTTTCATTAAATTTTTTACAGATTCGTACAACTGATGATTGATTAACATCTTTCCAAATTGCAACCTCTCGAGTTGAGTATGAATATGAGATCATTTTCTATCAGTATACAAGGCATTGAAAATAGAAAAAAGCTATTTACTAATCTTTATGTTATGGAAACTTCTTATATATAACATTATTTAACAATTATTTCATATCTAACAAATTTAATTCTGCAGTATTTTATCAAAAGAAATGCATCACTTAAAATATAATTATATTATTTTATTGCATTTACATAAATATGTTTTTTATTAATTGCATACAAAAGCGAAGATCAATTAAAATGAATCAATTTTTATAGTCGTACAAATAACTAAAAATAAAAGATATTTATAATTTAAATTTTTTTGCCGGGTGATGCTTTTTTTTGTGAGCCACAGCATATAATAACTAGCAATCCTATCCGGGCGATGCCCCAGGGTCAGTATCTCGACGAAAAAAATGTAAAGTTTTAACAAATTTAAAATAAAAAATATAAATCAAATTAAAGTGTACAAACAACACTTTTATATTTTTCGGTTTATTTTAATATCGCAATTTTTATTATTTTTATATATATATATATATATATATATTTTTAATTTCGATGATATTTCTTTTGTTCTTTATATGTATATATTTTTTTTATTTTTAATTATTTAATCTCGGCGAATTTTCTTTCGTTCTTTATACAGTGCGCGAAGAAAGTTCTCAAGAATAAAATTCGATGTAAAAAATCACGATTTTCTCCTGCAATATGTAATCTATTAAATAACTATTTCACGTGACATAATTGCATTAGCCATTTTTAGATATTATGTATTTGGAAGGTTTTGGGTCTTTCAACCCTAAACACGGCCAAGAAAACTAAAAAACTTCTTTCTAAACGATGTCCGAGGTTGTTGGATTGGCGATCGAATAGCCCGGATTTAATCCGATTGAGAATTTGTGGTCAATTTTGAAGGGACGTGTGGAAAAAGAGGTCAACAATCTTGTAATTAATAAAAAATCAATTACTATAGATGTTTTTATTGATGTAATTAAAAAGAGTGGGAAGGAATCGAGCCCGAAATTCTTCTTAATTTGGTTCGTAGCATGCCAAAACGATTGGAACAAATAATTGAGGGGGATGGCAATAAGCTGCTAAGCTATTGACTTAGCTTAATATTTTTTTTTCGTTATATAATAAAATATATAATTTTAATTTTTCAAGTATTTTTGAGTTGTTTTCGAAGTACAATAAATAAAAACGTAATTCCGAAAACTTTCGTCGCGCACTGTATATATATATATATATATATATATATATATATTTTTTTTTTTATTTCCCCCCCCGGTCTTTTTTTTTTAATTATTTAATTATTTTTTATTTTTTTTTTTATTTCCCCTTCCCCCCAAGTCTTTTTTTTTATTTTAATTATTTTAATTATTTTTTTAATTATTTTGATATCTCCTTCCCTCCCCCCCGGTTTTTTTTTTTTTAATTTTTTTTTTTTTTTTTTATTTCTCTTTCCCCCCTTTATTAGTTTTCTTTTTTTTCTTTCTTCTTTTTATCGGTTTTTCCTTTTTTTTTTTAAGATAACATTTTGCAATAAAGATGTGTCAAGATATTTTCATTACATTATTGAGGAGAAAGTAACAAAATATTGCGCATAAATTAATAGGTCAGGTATATAAAAAAGCGCCACAATCTATTATGCATGGATGGCATTACAATTTTCCCGATTGACGAAAATTTTCTAATTTCAATCGGAATCAAGAGTTTAATCGTTAAACAATGACAAAATTTATCCGAAATAAAAAATCAACGACGTGTATTGTAAAGTGAAAAAAAAGTTTTTTCTATTCTGAAACTTAGATTTTCAAATCATGATGCAAAAAGTTCCTACATTGTTTTACAAAAAATTCTGTGCTCTTGTGTGCATTGTTTTCCAGTAGTAAATCAATTGATCCAAAGCGTGATCAAAACATTTAAAACATTTAAGAATTATGTTCAAAACACTATCGCATTAAATGATCAAAATGTGTACTTTTTAGAAAAATCTTTTCATGTTTTAAGCGAATTCGACCTTTGTGCTAACATTTCATTTGACAAGAAAAGAGTGATTTGATTTTAATTAGATCCTTGGTAAAAAAAAAAAAAAAATGTATAAATAATAAGCGAAGCGACGCTTCTTTTGGACTTCAGTAATCCAAATTGTTCTGATCAAATATCCTTACACTTCAAATTCCTTTAATTCATTTAATAAAACCATGACGTTCCTTAGCAAAATAATCAAGAACGAAAAAGTCATTCAAAAGGATAACAGAAAGATCAAAAGCAAAAAAACTACAAAATCATCATTAAGAAGAAATGTTTTAAAAGTTCTTTATGAAACGAACAAGAAATCGCATTGCCGAAAAAAGCCGCTGGCGGCACCGAAGATCTACTCAAAAGATGACATCTTCACGGTCCCTTCGCACGAAAATGTCAAAGCACGATCTCGATCGCAGTCAATTTCTTACAACTTGCGCTCGATCTTACACCATTCCAACCTCACGCCTGATGAAAAGACTTGTCGACCCGTTAAAAGCATTAACATAAAGGTTAATGTCTTTTGGGGAGAGAAGTATAAGAAAGAGCTAGTCGACATATCCATTTCACGAATCTGCTCATATAATTCATTTAAAAAGATACTGTCGAAGAGTCTCGGGTACGAGATGCCATGTGATTTTGCCATATTATACCATACGAAAAGATTTTACAAGAATAATATGATGAGAATTTTAATAGATTATTGGATAGAAAACAAAGTGTTGTGGTTGGTAGATAATGACTTTAAGTTTAGAAAACACATGCTATTATGGAGAGACGAGATCGAAATTACTATTGTTCGAAAATCCATCATTTATTAAACTATTTGTTATTATATTTTTATTATTTATATTAGAACATTTATAATTACATCCTGGATGATTTTTATTAAGCACCATCACTAGTATATATATCATGTGATTAATATATAAATATAAATATTTTATTTAAAATTTACATCACATAAATCTTTATAACTTATAAATTATACAATTGTTAAGACGCTCTTTATAATAATCCCCCTGTCGAATATCATAATGGTATGGTATATGATATTGTGGCTCACAACAAGTGATGCATTTCTTTTTACTGATTTTAACAAAAGACTGCGTAAAATTAAATTCATAAAATATAAGATAATTGTCATATCAAAGTATATATAAAAGGCTTTATCATAATGAAAGAATTCATAACCTGATATTTTTTTTACCTTCAATGCCTTGAATATCAATAGAAAAACGATCTCGTATCCATACTCTTCATCAAATGAGATTTTCAACTAGAGAAGGTTGCAGCTCAAGAAGGTGTTAATCAATCATCGGTTGTACGAATATGTAAATTTAATGAAACGATGATCGACCTAAATCTGGTCTCGACATTTTCGGCCAGGAGCTCGACAACGACATGTTTCAATGAATCAAGTTCGGATTGCATATTTGATATAAATTCACTGACGTGATTTATTTAAAATGCATTTTATCCAAGTGGGACTTTAGGTCTCACTTTTTGTATTCAATGTACGTCTTCATATACCATGTTAGCATTTTCGGTTTGAATTCTTTATTGATGCAATGAATAAATTACATGATTCACCTTGTAAGCGTGATACATAAATTTACAAATGAAATGGTGTTTCTACATTAATACTTGCGGTTCATCTAAACTATTTACACACTAACATATTATCCCAACAATAACTTCATAAATAGAATAAAAATGGTCGTCAATTATACTTATAAGAGCATGCAGTGTCAGAAATAATGAAAATTAACCTTCGTAAAACTACCGACATTTTATGTTGTTTGTATTTAGCAATGTTAGTAAGGTCTTCAGAAATCTGTAAGAAAAAATGTCATTAGTTTGCAAATCTTGAAGTCATTTCCTTTGTAAATGCACAGCCATAACCGAAAAAAAGTATAATTCATCTTAATTGCGAAGTGTCTTGGAGAAAATAGTACGACGGCTTGGGTAGAAAAAATTGTAATACTTGAAAATCTTACTATATTTATTATTTCCGTCCAAATAAAAAAAATAAAAATTACACTGATTAGTCAAATACGGTCACTCGTACGACCATTCGTATGACCAAATAATTACGTAACATAATTCACTTTTTTTAATAAATCCCAAGTCTAAAAATGATAAATTACTTTTTTTATTTAATTTTATCTATATTATTTGCTATCTTACATCACAAGAAGCCACCAAAAGTTTATGCAAGAGTCTATATATATACTGTACTTTAGACAGTCATAGTACTTTTCATTTTTCGCGTTTCTCGTGTTTCCTGCTCTTTTAAACAATTCTAATGAGTGTTGCAACGAAAGTCTAGAAATGTTCAATATGATTACCCGGAAGACTAGACAAGCATCAAAAGTTAATCAGGTATGTTAAGTGGTTTAGTTCTGTTTAAGAACAATAACAAGGTTCATTTAATGGCTAACGACTACGGACTACGATAGATCTGCATGATTATTACGAGGGCAAGATAAAAACCAAAGTTACGTTAAGGTAAGTCTTCCTAAAGAAATAGATATGAATAATGTTGACGTACATATACTCGAAGAGGTACATGCAAAATATCTCGCTGAAAGAGTTGGAAACGATATATTTATCAAAGTAAGTTTGATTCTTTAATTCTAGCCTATATCATTACCAATATTATTAATAATTTATAATTTAGTACGATGGGATCAATAAAGAAAGGATGCAACGCAGATTAACGAACTCGGCCGAGGCATTCAATCCAAATTGGACTGTAGAGAATAATTCGATATATGTAGTTGGAGGCGCTGAGCGTCGACCCGACGTTGGATTGTGGTTTATTAGACCGATTTTTGCGCAACGTTCTAGGCCTATTATCAACCAATGTCCACCGCCGAGTGTGTATATCGAGGTAATTGTATTAATTTCTACTGAGAAAAATAGGAAAATTAAATGGTTTGTCTTATTAGATCTGGATCCTTTAGTTGTTTTTTAGCAAGGACTCGAACCGTGACATAGCGTTAACTAGAATTAACTTTGCTCAGCAACACACGACTGGCATTGAATTCGTTGGAATTTGTATTCCAGATTTAACTAATCCTATCCACGCAAATTCAAATCCTCAGCAAGTTTTAACTCATGCAGTCCCCAAGGCAAATCAAGACGCCAGACCCAGCCGAGTTCCTTATATTTTACATTGGAATGTAAATAATATCCCTGTTTATTATAAAATGCGATGGAACGAACACATCTTGCTTAGATGCGGATGGAGTATTGACTTTAATATTGTACTCAATGAGCTTGTTTAATGAGACACACCCAAATCTATTGCATATTATAAATTTTTCAGTATTTACAGAAATATATAGCTAATGCTTCTAATCTGTTATGTCAATTTTTTTCAAGATCAAATAATAATAACAGATGATAAAAACCGTGATCCTTGACTGAGCGAAAATCGTTATCAGCAGATATATGACTTGATTGTGGATAACCTAAGTTTTGAGGATTATTTAAGAATAGATGACAAAAGTGAATGACAAAATCGCGTCCAGTCACGTGATTGGAAACGATTAACAAATTTGACGAAGTTAACGAAGTTGACCAATTTGACAAAGTGGTCATAGTTGATCGATTAGATAAATTAGACATATTGTTTAAAATTGTTATATTTGTTAGTTATAATCTATTTAGTAGCATTATTAAATATTTTATATTATCTTATTTATCTTATTTATCGTTTATATTATATTTGTTATATTTTATTATTATTAATTTATTTTATATAAATATCTTGTATTTTCTCTTGAGTTGAAAGTAAGTAACTTGAGTAGAAAACTTCTAGTAGAAATGATTCCATTATTATCTAATCTTAAAAAATTTAACAAATATGTTGAAGGCATACAGTATTAAATAAAATTAAAAGATTGAGATAGTTATTGTTGCAAATAGAAAAATAGAATCAAGTATTAGCGACCTTTTTTTTTATGTATAATGGATAAATTAGCATTAAAAAAATACACTTATATTATTTTAAGCTTTGTCATTGAGTTATATTTGCAGTTATATTAACATCCGTGTTTTGAAATAATCTTGAGTGATTTGTTTATTTATTTTTTTTTTTTCTTCTTAGTTTTGATAACCAAAAATGCTTTTATTGTATCGAAAAGTTGCTTGTGTTACAGTATATTTATTTTATTTTGTTTTAATTTTTTTTAATTGGTGAAAAAGTTGAAAAAGTGAATTGGTTTTTTGCAATCATTTCAACCTCTTCAGGAATTGAATTCCATAAAACTGATGACGATATGAATTTCCGAATTCAACACAACTTTGGAGGGTAATTAACAGGTGCAAATATTTGGATGAGAAGGGTTAAAAATTTGAAGTCAAAATAATTAATTATGAAAGCAATCAAGTATTTAACCAACTGAAATATTTACTGAACGTTATTTACAAATCTTTAAATTTATTCAAAGAAAATTAAATTATACATAATTTTACATAGACTAAAAAAGTCTATGAAGTCTATAAGTCTATAATTAAGTCTAAAAAAGTCATTATATAATAAATGTAAAAAAAAAAATAAAAATCATTGTTTTTCTCTTTCTTTAGACCTTTTCAGATGAAGTAATCGGATGAACTCTTGGCCAAATGTTTAAGGTGAAATAAGAATTTTCTTTCGTTAATATTAATGCTATTGACAAATACCAAGCTAAGAAAGCAACGACAACTATTTTTTTTTTTAAAAAAAAAAAAAAAAATTAATTAATATTTTTTTTCCTTTTTCGGTCTTCATTTAATAAAATTTTAAAATTACCTCCAAGAATACCGCCAACGACTTCACAAAATCTATTTCCGGTAAAGGTTGCAATCGTAAGAAAGACATTAATGAAAACCATTAAAAAGAAGATTGCGATCAACACGAGATTTGATTTTAGCACACAAAGCAACATTAAAACCGTAACTATTTTTTAAAAAGATTTTTGTGAATTATCGAAATTCGTGCAAATTGAAGGGAAAGAAAATCACAGTTATCAAAAAGATACTTACAAATTGTCCAACCTATGAGGAATATACCAAGCGCATTTTTTAACATTTCTGGATCATCTTTATAGGAAGCGATAATCCCTGTGGCATCAAAATGAACGAATCCGAAACAGATCCAATAACCACCTAAAAAGTGATATGTTAATATATGCATTGAATAAACGCATGGTTTTTAACCCAAATAATGAATGATCCTTACCATAAGAGGAGAAAACTGTGGCGTGGAATACATCTCCTCGTTTCAATTCAAACAATCCAGATAGTAATTGAATGGCGCCTCCATAGAATAAAGCCAAACCGAGACCAACATTACTATTTGTTATTCCACCAGCACCCGTTAAATAAATCGAATACACAAACGATGTCATTGCAAAAGAACTCAAGGCTATTATCATTAAAAAAGCAAAAAATTAGGATTTTTTTTTTTTAAAAAAATAAAAAAAACCTTACTCCTCGAATTTAATTGATAAGGTATCTACCTAACGGTGCAGCATTTGCTTGATACTGTGGTTTAAATGAACTTTCCTCGAAGTGAACATGATGGAGAGTTGTAGTTGATCCTGACATTTTTTTTTCTTAAGGAAAAAGAAAAGGGTTTTTTGAAAATAAATCTTTTGAAAGGGAAATGTTATTTATTTTTCTTCAAATTGAGAATTTATTTATGCAATCTATCTAAGCTTTGGCTGTTTATATATAGAATTCGAAATGAAACTTTTTTTTTTTTTTTTTAATATCACCGGAAAATGATTGGTGATTCACCAAAATTTTATGACCTGATCAAAAAAAATAG